ACATTCCTGCCATATTGGGGTAAACTTATCAGTAATAGCTGCCACGGTGGTCACGCCGACTACGACGTCGCCGCAAGAGACGATCAAGTACATCTAACAGGAGCAACGCTCCATCAATATTGGTGGCCCTGGTGTCATCTGCCATAAGGGCACAAAGACAAGTCGTGAGGTAATGTGAAGCATCGGTCACGCCAAATAACAGGACGGTCGTTACCTCTGGGGTCCTCGACGTGCGTACGCCTCCGCCTCTCGCGGCGCCGCCCATACTCGTGTGTACGTTCATCCGGACATCCTATGGGACATGTGCGCAACGCATAGCAGCGCGAGGTTAATAACGTGCAACATGGCTCCCAAAAGTGGCAGCACGCAGTCAAGCAATTCATGTTGTTTGGTACTCACCTGTCTGTGACCGGACGTGCCTCGTAGGAGTAGCGGCGCTAGACACGAAAGTACCCGGGACCCTGTACGCCGAGCTAGACCTGGACGGGTTTGGAGGGTCTGACTCTCCCGTCTCTACGGGCACATTATTGGCGTCGCCCCTGTTGCCAGGGAAGAAGAAGTCGAAGAGATCATTCACGCGGGTAGAACCTTCGCGTGAATCGGCCGGTGGATCTTCGCGCTCCGCACCCGCGGCTATTTCCTCAATCTGCATCCTCTCCCAGCTACTAAGTACCGAGTGTGCAGCATCTACATTCCCCCCTGCTGATATCGTGGGCTGTTCGTGGTTCAAAGGTCCCGTAATTGACTGCGTAGCCCCCGCGACTCCATCCTCCGTTTCATCATCAGATGAGTCTACCACCGGCTGTCGGCCATTACCAGTGTGTGGCTCGGGTGTAACAGTCACATTGACGGTTTTATCTCGACTTATGTCGGCACCCGCGTTTATATCACCACACGCTGGCGTTTCCTGCATACGCGTTCCATCTCGATCAAAGCTACCACCCAGTAGCTTGTTTATGTGACGCGCCGCTACCTCTGTGTCGTTGCTGCTAGGGGAGGCCATAACGGGAATAATGTTAGGGTTTGAACGAATAGCCACACAGTGCTAAATGACTCCTTGTATCGCCATTGTTTGAAGCCACTTCGGAAACCATTTCCGTCAGCGATATCGCCGCCAAAATCCCGCCGTTCGACGTTGTACACCCGATTGATTTACTGTGTGTGTTACACGACATGTACAAAGAAGCTCAAAAGGTTTCATGTTTACATGATACACCAAATCTCAAACTGGCTACATCTGCAAGTATTTTAACATTTCGACTGCACAGTTCTAATCCCGTTCCGTAACAAACTATGCCCACACGCCCATAAGTCAAAAGGTCCTGTCTACCGGTTGGCGTTATACTTTACTAGGCGAACGTAGGCACAATCAATAGTCTTGGATGAGGTGCCCGTCATGGACTCTTCTTGCATGGGCTTAGTAGATACCTTGGACCACCAAGGTATCATTCCCAGAGCACGACTGAGATCCCCGATGCGCACTCCTTCGTCCATGTCCTTCATCACATTGGGCCTGTGCACCTGAAACATGCTTCATCTGGGTTTAGCGTAGGATATGCAGGCACCACAACACACACCGTCCTTTGTAAGGGCATCAACGGAACAACGTATACGTCTTACAATGGATGAGGTGCCACATCCCGTGCATATGTCTCTTGAGTGAGGTGCCGAAATCCTGGACCCATCGGACCGATGTCTCTCCTCCTACACACCAGATAAACGTCCCCCACCTTTAATGGCCATCGGAAACACACCCAGTCGGCACGCCAACGATCCTCACCTCATATCCCATCGCCCTTGCCTCGGCCATTAGAACGACTCTGTAGTCAAATGTCGGTAACTCCAGCAGTATGACATCCTCGAGGCTTGTTGCGCTGTGATTTACGAGTCTGTAATCAGCTATTGACGTCATAAACCGGCGACCTTTGGCACGTGTAATGCTCGACTCCGACTCGTCCGGATACGTGGCGTATATGAGCCTCAGGTACATGAACGGTGTGGGTGCATCGGGTGTTATTGCAAGAGACGCACGGGCTTCTAAAATCGCGCGCGCCCTGTGCTGTCTAGGACTGCGCCTTCCACTACCCAGGAATGGGTCCAGAGACCTAAGAATCGTGGCCGCGCTAAGGGTCTGACCTCGTTGTGACATTATGGCACCTTGCACCTGCATTATGGCGTAGGCTATAGTGGGCTTAGACCGTATGAAATAACCCCGGGTGTTGCGCCGACGAGGCTCCAGCACGTCGCGCGCTTTACTACGCGTTGCGCTCATCATGCCACTACCAACTGAAATCAGTAACATTAGGCGGACGTTAGGGTTTTGTAAGTGTCCGTCCTACGGAAATCGAGGAACCGGCTGGTGGGACGATTGGAAGCGGTGTGGAATGGTTTGTGGAGTGTTGGCACGCTTTCATGGTCAACTGGGTGTACCGAGCACAAAGTGCAAGATTACTTTGCGCGTTCTTCAGTACGTGCCATATCGGGGAGGTGAACATTTTACTCGCTCTCGGATTGAGCGTGGAATGTGCTATATCCCCAACGTGAACAATCTCGTTACGTACACAATGATTGACAATGTGCGTATTATTCGACAAATACACCGGTTACTGAGATCAATAGGGCTCATCAGTTACTACATCCCATACTCAATATCCCCATGCACGCCTCCCAGGGATGCCGTTGGGGAGTTGAAGCATATCTCCTCGCTGGCCGTGGAAGACATGGACGAGGAAGGCGCGTATGAATGCCTCCTAACCTTCTTCTCTGGTGTGCGCAGCAGACGGTCAACGAGGTCCGGGTTCCCCAAGCGCTTAAGCGTGACGACGACACTCGGAGCTACTCCCGTCGCGCTAGCAAGCCTTGTGTACGCATCAGATGCCATACGCATGAACCGGCGGCGAGTCCTGTCGTCCCATTTGACACGGCCGACACAGCTTGAATCATCAATCCGACGGATGACCGGCTCTGGAAAACGTTCGGCCGTATCCTCGTCCATGGTGTCATCCCAAGTTGCGTAGTCCAATGCATCCATCACGCAGTCGAGGATGTCCAACTGGTCCAGCCTCCTCTGCAGGCCCGTGAGGCTAACGACGAGCTGCTCCACAACCTTGACATGCAGGTTGCGGTTAATCGCCTGAAGCCGAGGCAGCCACTCGTCCGGGACGCACCCAGTGCGCCAAAACGCGAGCTGAATGTGAGATGTCGCCACCCCCCACAGTGCCTGGAATGTCCACTGCAACGTGTTCGCGGCCGATGGAGAGTTGCTGGTCCACACCCAAGCTGGAGGCACGCGCCTCATGAAGCGAGTCTGGTGGTCCACCCACATTGTGCGGAATTCGGACCTGAAGAATGTGACAATGCCCTGCACGACGGGGTTCCCCACGTCTGGTGCAACATCATGAAGCTGCACAATGCGAGTATGGGTTAGGTGGTGCACCATGAAGGGCCCACTCGGCTCTCGCTTGCCCTCTCCCCAAGTGAGCTTGTGCCTACGCGAGGACACAAGGACGACGATGTCACGGTCCTCTGCAAATTTCGCAGCGTTGAGGCCTAGCATGAACTGCGTGAAAAGCTGCACGTAACAACATAGAGTATCACAGAGACATATTTTTAGCACCAACGTATTGAGTCCATATATAGGAGACATTGTTGCGTGTCATCTCTAGTACAATTGGCCATTACCAAGGGGGTTATGCGGCCGGACCGAGTACGGCGTATATATGCCCACTGGTCGCCGCTGACATCGTGGCCCAGCCTCAGTGGCTCCCGGTCGGCGCTCACTACAATGGGCCTGAAGCGATGCGCGCCGTCTGCGGAATAGAGAAGGCCGATAGACAGCCTCTTCATATCATTCCCATTGCGACCGACGAACGGATGCAGGTATGGCTGCAGAGCAGGTAGGAGAGGAACCTCTACAAATATGTAGACGTCGCTGGGAGGTGCGCCAAGGCGCGAAGAGAGATCCTTTAGAGCGGCCATGGAAGTAAAGTGGCGTCTGCTACAAATGGCGGCCTATGATATAACCGGTAGGATTGGCGAGTACAGCGTCCAATGTACCTGCTAATTGACAATGAGTGAGTCTAGCGTGAGAAAAACATCGGCGCAAGCTGGCCACTCCCTCTTTGCCCTGACAGGCGTGGATTGGCCACAGAAGCTACTGATTGCGCAATGACGTGGGTACACCTCATAGGCTACCACGGTTGTGCACTCTTGAAACCACATGTTTGTGCCCTGAAAGCTAATCTGTTAGTGACATTTCCGTACACTGTACAGTATATGCCCGGGTCAGTTGGGGTTCCGAGATAGTGTGCGCATTCATGCGTACGTCGGTACACTGTTACATTGCATGGTATAGTTATACTGTTTAGGAACTATCACGCCGCATCGCCCTGAACATCAATATACATCATTTAATTTGGATGCTCCACTCATCGTCGATACGTTCAGTGATCGACAATTGTTCAATGGTGTAACTGAAACGAAGTCGAAATAAACCCATTTGGTTGCTGAAATGTTACGTCGCTGTTGATCGCATTTGGTTATAATCATAACGGGACATATGTCGTCCCGATAATGGCTGCACAATTGAGTTTATAAAGGTTCCGCGTAGTATCGGCGGTGCATGCTGACGAGGGTACAGTAATCTCGACTCAATTGCACTGTGACAAGTGTCAAATATGGCTGGAACCCGCTGCCAATCACGAACCGCCATGGTGGTATCCACATTCTACAATCTCCTCTGTCCCTGAGTCTCCGTCGTCTGAGCAAATCAGATGTTTATCGCCGAAGATGCCTGGTGGAGTGTATAAACGCAACAATTGCACTACAGCCCGACAGTTTAGTTCTTGCCACCCTAGGGTTTCGGCCTTTCTCATGAAGTCGCCATGGTACCGCGAACCAAAGCCCAGGCCTCTAAACGAGGCCTCCATAGTCCACAAGCAATGACATCGCGTAGGCCACCGGCAGCGCCGCGGCGGGATAACACCACGATCCCGGAATCGATGAGCAACAAGCGGCTGCGCTCGCGTGAACTCAAGCAGGGGGATACGAATACCGAGGCCGCAGTGGCCGCGTCGGTTTCAGCATGGGGCTCGCGGCTGCCATGCGTCAAAGATGAGCCCGCGCCGAATGACGCGCTGACTGCTCTACTGAACGCACCATCTTCAACGACCTTTAAGACGGTGTCTCTGTATAACCACATGGGTGTGGGCTGTCAAGTGACTGCGCACGACGCATTGACGCTCGCCGACAAGGAATATCTGGGCGACGCGGTCGTCGATTTCCATAACATGTACGTTTTTGGTTGGCGATACTCCTCTAGGTTGCTTTGTCGCCACCTACGGTATGCCAACTTTAACGTTCAAGATTTTATCGTGCGTTATCCCTTCGTACCCGTGCAACCTCCTGAACATCAGGTACCCAAGGTGTCCGAACGGGAAATCATGGGTGGTCCTTGACAGCAAGGCGTATGCGTATGCCAAGCTTCACAAGAAGCCGATTGGGAGGTGCACGGGCCCGTCTGTGTTCGAGTACGATTACATCGCCGTCCCGGTATATGCCCGGTAAGTACGTCTTTTGCAAGCCGCTGTAATAAGCCCATCTGTAGCCCCAGCCTAACAAAGGCCCCTCAATTGTGTAGGAAACACTATTCTTTGATGGTGGTAACCAACCCCAGCGGGATTGTAAGCCAGACGGCCGCACCTGTGGAGTTCATTCTGTTCGACAGTGACGGCCTCCACGCCAAGACTACTGATGCCTTTGACGGGACTAAAGCGTGAGACTCGCTATATATCACCGTGAAACCACCTTTCAGCGGTGACGTCCTGCGACCTCATCTGACCGGTTGGCTATATCATCGTGCAGGTTATTGCACCTCATGTGCAAACGCGATCATCCGGAGGTGGACCAGGAGGCGTCTAGGCAAGCGCTCATCAAGGCAGAAACGATAATCATGGAGGTGAGATGCTGCAAAGACAGTATGGCTCATTCTATCCCACTTGCTTTCTAATACGGGAGCGCGTTCTAATGAACGGAAACATGGTGTCTCGATGGTGCGCAGGGTCACCAGATCCCCAAACAACCTAACAGCTGGGACTGCGGAGTGTACATGTGCCAGTATCTCGAAGCACTGGTGACATCTGGGTTCATAACCGTGAGAGAGTACATATCGTTCAAGGGGGTGAGCGCTGAGAGGTACCGCCACAAGATGCGTGGGGATCTTTGTTCTCATGCCGAGGGAATGCTGATTCCCGAGCTGCAGCGCCAGGGTCTCCGCATACCTCTGCAACCTGTTCCCGTTATCGACGACAACGGATACATCTGCGTCGACCCTCCCGTGGACATCCGAAGAGAGCTGCTAGACCACAAGGAGAAGTTCGCTGTGATTGAGCACGACATACAAGTTCTGACGGCCAAGATCGAGTATCTGGCCATCCGCAAAGGCGTGACGTCGGACGAGCTGGACGCAGGGGCGCACCAACACCTTGGTGTCGTGGTAGACACGCTGGTAGAGTCGGCGACTCCACACAAGCCCGCTAAAGCAGACCCTACCGCGGACAGAAGTGGCCCAATGGAAGTCGCGCACACTGCACCGACGCGTGCACTGGCGGCAGTGCCATCAATCTCTCCCTGTCTTGCACCTCACACACCTGCCGAGAAAGATAGCCAAGTTACTGCCGGAGACGCGACACCTGCTGTGGTCAGGCAACAACAGCGCGACCATCTTGCAGTGGCTTTGCGCAGCCGCGCTAAGACTCCCGTGCCCGCAGCTCCAGGTAACCCCGGAAGGGTCGCAAGCAGCGGCCGAATGGGAGTTATGTGGAACGCAGAGAAGCAGAGGTACTACGTCCGGATCATATCTGCTCGCCGTCAGCAGGTTCGTCTGGGGTCGTACGAGGACAAGGACGAGGCGTCATACGCGTATGCTGCGGCAGCCGTTGTACTTCGCCCGAACTCACGCATCAGCTGCACGGTTGAGCTGTCCGACGGTGACAGGCAGGCTTTAGCAGGCTGCACAGAGTAGATCCTAAGGCTACTCGTGAAGTACAGGCGGTGGAACAGATGGAGGGAGTGGAGAGCCGCAATGGCTGGCGTGGACGACGCGCAGCCGGTCGATCGCCGTTCGCGGCGAAAGGGCAGAGTGTCCCGGGCCATTAGTGACGTTGAGGAGGTGGAGGCGATCACGCAGACTACAGAGGACCAGGCTATGGCAGACGAGCCAGAGGACCGAACAGAGGACTACACGGATGACGATGAGTCCGTTGACGATGATGCTGTGTATGAACCTGGAAACGATACTTTCGACGAAGATGATGGATGGGAGGATGTCAACCGTGCACAGGGTGTTGCATGAAGCACTAAACAGGGTGGCCATTGGACGAGGGGTTGTTGTAGTTGTGTGCTCATACTGATAGGACTTAGACCTGGTGGCGGGTAGCCGAATCTGGAAATGTAAGCATCGCATCTACCACGGTTTTGAACTGTCCATATCCAGGAGATGTAAATATATGACAAAGAACTCTTAAACGATGCACATGTTGAAACTGTAACAACGGTTGGGGGTAGTAGCAAATGGTGAAAAAAGTGGGTGTATAATTGGAGTAACGCATCTGACAGAAACGTGGACGAGCATCGACGATGTGACAATCCTGGCACGGCGACATGTTACATGTGGAAAGTGTGGCTGACAATTGTGTGTAATCAAACTGGCCACTCTAACTGTGACATGTGTAGAATTGTGCGCGTGGCCAAGAGCGTGAGGCAAATAGTGCGGTGACAAACTCCGTTATCGAGCATTGCGATGTACACGAGAGTGGTAAGGGGACTGATGCGAGCGAAGGTAGAACCCCGGGGTGGTTTAGAGCTACGCCATTTCGAACCCGCTGTGTATGCGGTCTGAGATGCTGTCTCCGCCAGAGGTCGATATGACTCCACCGACGGCGGTCGTTCCAAGCGGGCGAAGACTGCGCCGTCATGGTTAGCTGAGTCATATGAATACGGGGAGCGGAAGAAGAAAGGACGACCCCTAGCGGAACCCAAGAGGCGTAAAACAAGCACAGGAAAATGTGGCGCGGCGGATAAGAACGCGGGGCATGACGAAGGTAACATTTGTGACGTGACATGTACGTTGCATTTCATGTACCAGTGCTAATGCTTGTCTGTGGTGATATATGCCGTATGCGCACGCAAACTACACACCCTTCTACCTACCACGCAACTTGTCACAGAGACTCGAGAATTGCCGCTGCAGATATGTAGTGCCAACGCTGTCGGGGCCGTCGACGCGGAGGCAGCCTGCACGCCCATTGTTGCCAACGCACCGCAAGGGGAGGAGGACACCGAGGCCGTGAAGGAACGCCTGATAGACGAGTTAATGGAAGGCGAAGATGAGGACGACGAGGATGGAAGCGGTGGTGGTCAGTCGTCAAGCAACGATCCGTGTGGCGAGAACGGATCAGAGGAGGAGCAGGCCACAAAAGCGCCACATTCGAGGAAGCGGATAAATGCAGCCGATGGCCAAGTCACACGCGAGGAATTTGATGCGTTGCGTGATTCCCAGAATGATACCGCGAAGACACTGGCTCGTCTTGACTCACACGTACTGACCATCATCCGCCTTGGCGAACGGCGTAAGCGCACGCGGGCGTCCACAAGTGCCGCAGCTTCGCTCGGCCGGGAAGTTTTGAAGCGGAAACGCCAGTCAGATGATGACGAAGAATCCACGTGCGATGAGGACGATTTGCCGGCGAAAGTGGCACGGCACGCGCGTCACGACAAGTCGCCAGTGCTCCAAACCGCCCTTGACATCCTTCCAGCGGAGAAGGCTTGGAAGGTGAGGCCTCGCATAGTGTGTTCTGCTCACGTCGAGGCACAGTTGGTGGATACACTACATATGTCGTCACCGTTTCCCCCCCCCGTACAACTATTTTCAATGTCGCAAGGTGTTTGCGACATGGTTAAGGATTATCTGTTTGTAGAAGCCCCGAACGAGAAGATGGACTTCTATCCGAGTCGCGACGCCAAAAACGCGGGCCTATGCCATGTCGTGTCCACCATTTCTCCCAAAACTGCGACTCTGGCTTTAGACGCTGATAAGGCTCGACGGCAGGATCTGAACAAGACATTGTCCGGGTACAAAACAGGGTTGGCCGGACGCGCTCGCGGAGTTTTTCTTCCACGAATTGGTCTTTTCCGTGACGACGAGGACAGGGCCAGTCCTTGGGCACGTAAGACGGAGCGCACTGGGGAGCGTGCCCGAAAGAGATATTGCGTCCCCGTCCCAGACGATGGTGCGCGTTCGCTTGTCATATGGCCGGAGTGACTTTCCGCAACTCCTGTGTCGTGCCATAGTGGACCAGACATGTCTTTGAACCCTCCCCTTTTTCCGTACGCGGTATCGTTGTACCCGTTTTGCATTCCACGTGCGCAGGGGACCCGACCTTGTGCAAGTGGCACATCAGCAAAGATGGACTGCCATTTGCATCCGGAGCGTTCGCGGCATGTGCCATCGCGGCTTTCGGAGGGAAGCGGAAGGACAAAGAAACAACTATAAAGCCGTACCACATGTCGTGGCTCGAGCACCTTGTACGTTTACACCGATGCGAGCATATGTTGTAGCCACTTTCCTTCAACTCGCCGTTGTAAATGGGCTTCTCCTGCCTTTGTCAGAACTATATAGCTTATACTATTGTGTAGGCTATAGTGGGGTATCCCATAGGGGGTACAACCCAATTAGGGTTTCCTATTTGTACTCACTTCTTTCATAGTCATTCCATTCTCGTTCTCTCTTTCACATGGAATCAGAGCAGGTCCCCTACTAGGGACTGTTTCTTGGGCCCACCGAAGCGCGCCCCGAGGCGCGCGTCCTTTTTTTTTAGCGACCCGTCGTGTCGCCCTCCCTAGCGGCCTGTCGAGCCGCCCTACCTTGCGGCCCCGCCGCCCTATCGCGCGGCCTCGCCGCCCTAAGTCGCGGCCTGCCCGCCGCCCTACTTCGACGGCCCCGCCGCCCTACGTCGTGGCCCGCCGCCCTACTTCGACGGCCCGCCCGCCGCCCTACGTCGCGGCCCCGCCGCCCTACGTCCCGGCCCGCCCGCCGCCCTACTTCGACGGCCCGCCCGCCGCCCTACGTCGCGGCCCCGCCGCCCTACGTCCCGGCCCGCCCGCCGCCCTACTTCGAAGGCCCGCCCGCCGCCCTACGTCGCGGCCCTACCGCCCTCAGCTACGCGGCCCCGCCGCCTTCTGCTACGCGGCCCTGCCGCCCTCTGCTACGCGGCCCCGCCGCCCCTCGATCGCGGCCCCGCCGCCCTCTGCTACGCGGCTCCGCCGCCCTCTGCTACGCGGCCCCGCCGCCCTCTGCTACGCGGCCCCGCCGCCCTCTCCTACGCGGCACCGCCGCCCTCTGCTCCGCGGCCCCGCCGAGCCGCCCAGCAGCAGCCGAGCCGCCGCCGAGCCGCCGCCGCCTGAGCCGCCGCCCGGGCCGCCGCCGAGCCGCCGCCGCCTGCGCCGCCGAGCCGGAGCCGCCCGAGCCGCCGCCCAGCCGCCCAGCAGCAGCCGAGCCGCCGCCGAGCCGCCGCCGCCCGAGCCGCCGCTGAGCTGCGACCGAGCCGCCGCCCGAGCCGCCCGAACCGCCCGAGCCGCCCGAGCCGCCCGAGCCGCCCGAGCCGCCGTGCTGCTGTTCCTGAGCTGTGTTCTTCTGCTGCTGACCTACCCGACTCTCCCAGCCCGGTGAGACTTCCAGCTGCTGCCATGGCCACCCCCAATGTTCTTACTTTTGACGCTGAGGGGAGGGCCATTGACTTTGCCGTCTGGATTGAAGACCTGCAGCTGTACTTACTGTGTGATGCGATAGATGAGGTCTCTCTTTTTGACTTTGTCTCTGGCGCTGTTCCTGCCCCACCTGCTGATGCTGACTCTGCCGTTCGCTCCAAGTGGGCGACCCGCGATGCTGCTGCACGTCTTGCTGTGCGTCGCCACCTCCCTTCCTCTGAGCGTGCCCACTTTAGTCAGTGCAAGTCCGCTCAGGCCTTGTACGACGCTGTAGTTGCACGCTACTCCTCCCCTTCCTCCGCTACCCTTAGCCGCCTCATGCTACCGTTTCTCTTCCCTGACCTCGCTTCCTTTCCCACTGTCGCTGACCTCGTTACCCACCTCCGTGCTAGTGACACCCGCTACCGCGCTGCCCTTCCTGCTGAGTTCCGCGCTGCGAACCCTCCTCCCATGTACATCACCCTCTACTTTCTCGTCACCCGTCTCCCTGAGTCCCTTCGTGTCGTTAGGGACCAGTTTCTCTCTGTCTGTCCCACCACTCTCACTGTCGACCTCCTTGAGGAGTCCCTGCTAGCGGCTGAGAAGAGTATTGTCGCTGTAGGGGCCTCTCGGGGTGACCCTCGCACCCCCATCTTTGAGGGGTGTGGTCCTTCCCCCCTGCTGCCCTCTGTCGCCTCTGCCGCTGCGGCCGACCTCACTGGTTTTGAGTCGGTCGGCGCGGCGTCTGCCCCCAGCGGCAGACGCCGCTCTGGCAAGAGCAAGGGGGGCAGGGGAGCGGGTGGAGCTCGAGGGGGCGGTGGAGGAGGCGGTGGGGGTGGCGGGGGGAGTGGGGGTGGCGGTGGGGGTGGTGGCGGGAGTGGAGGTACTGGTGGCGGCGGTGGAGGCGGAGGTGGCGGCGGAGGTGGTAGCGGAGGAGGCGGTGGGAGCGGTGGGAGCGACGGTCCTGGTGGGGGAGGTGGCGGTGGAGACGGGGGTGGCGGTGGAGGCGGGGGTGGCGGTGGAGGCGGGGGTCGGAGTGGCTCGTCCCAGCGGAGCAGCTCTGGGGGTGGTCAGCGCCAGCAGCAGCAGCAGCAACAGCAGCAGCCGCAGCAGCAGCCACAGCAGCAGCAGCGCTCTCGCACCGTCCCCGGCCCTCAGCAGCTCCGTGAGTGGTACTTGCAGCGTCAGCGTGGTGGTGCGCTTGGTCCCTGCCCCTACGTTCTTCGCACAGGTGACCGTGCAGGGGAGAGGTGTGGAGGCGCCCACACAGCCCGCCGCTGCTTTGGCCGCCTGACCGACGCCTCGCGTCAGCAGTTTCCGGAGGCCGCTGAGATCCCCCGCTGGGGAGAGCTGTCTAGGGCTGGTGTAGCTATTTATGATCTTGATTTTGATGCTATTCTCTCTGCTATGTATGCTGTGACTGGTAGTGATGAGGATGACTGTTACCGGTGTTTCCCGCCCGACCCGGGCATTGGTACTGCCGCGTCAGGTACTAGTGAGGCTGCTGCTCTAGGTGCCAGTGCGTCTGTGCTCTCAGGTGCTGGTGAGTCTGCCCTCTCAGGTACTGTGTCGGCTTCGGCCTCTCACACCTTCACCCTTGACTCTGGA